GGGGGGGCTCTTTGGAAATTGCTTTCCGTTTCAATTGATAATTCGCCATGAGACATGTAAGTCTGAAGATTGGGTGTTTTTTTAAAGGCCACGTCGCTATTCTCACCCGGGTGTGCGTTCACCTTTATAGACTAGATCTAGATTTTTCTCGGCCAACCAATTTTGCGTTTACCCTAAACCACAGAATTCTACACTGTGATACAGAAAAACTGAAGAATTCTGTGCCGTGAACAAACGTTCCATTACTACTGTTAGCCTACTAAAAGCGTACAATTTTGTCTGTGGACAGTGGAGAGAGAGAGAGAGAAAGAGAGAAAGAGAGAGAGAGAAAGAGAGAAAGAGAGAGAGGAGTAGCGTAGCGCGAGAACTTCCGGGCAAAACAAAATGGCGACCCCCGTAGTTCGGCTCGATTCTAAAAGTGAAATAGCCATAGCATCTTTGTAGTCGATCAAATTAGCTTACTTTTGTGCTATAACGTAATCTTTTCTTTTTTATCCATTTGATCATCCACATCGATAGAAAGTATTCTAAAATTAGGAAAAACAGGTCTTGTTTCCCACCGGGTGAGAATAGCCTACAGTGGCAAGTCCCACCCGGGGTGAGGGGTCGATCGTATATCTATTCTCACCCTGGGTGAGGATAGCCACTTCCTTTTTTAAACTTTTTTTTTTGGCAGGGGGGCAACCCCCCTCAAACCTCCCCTCTATCTGGGCCTGGGGGGTGGCGCCCCCCCCCCCCCCCCCTGATACCCCCTACTACTGTTTATGGCAAAATGGCTGCTTGTGCGCATTATTATTAATGACAATATGTAAACACGGTGGGTCCACCAAAGCTCAATACGGCCAAAATTAAATAAATTTTTTACGAAGTGGCTAGCCGTACTGACTTAGATCTAGAATCTAGATCTAGATCTAGACACAGCGCCGAAAACTGGCCGAAATCGTGCCTCTTAGTTTCCCAGGCCAGCGACATCTGGAAGTCATTAAATCACCGTCGGAACCGCTCCGTGCCGGGTTACGCGGGGGTCACTGGCCGCTCCGTTGCGCATCAGCTACAGGCGGGCAGGTCATGGCGTAATCGACATGTTTGACACTAATTAGCGGCAGTATCCTCACTCTAACCACGAAATATTCCATACAAAAAGAAAAGACCAAAATTCTCTCTCTCACTCTACGAAAACCCGATCTTAATGTGGCGATATTTGCCGATGTTACAGTGTATGCAAAATATTCTGAATTTCATTGAATTTAATCTGTGTGTGCTGCACTTTATTCACTTCTAATTTCAAAAGTGCTCGATCAATCCCAACAAATTTTGGTACATGTACTGATGACATATTTGTGCTTTACGTGTGTAATTTTCATCATCGTTTGAAGAATAGTTATTGCAATATTAAGTCGTTTACATCTGATTCTCAGCCAGTGATTGTTATTTGTCCCATGCAACTGTGTATTCTGGATTCTATACTGTTTTAAGTTCAACAGTTCTCCGTTAATTTCATAGATTGTTGTTTCTATGAAAGGCAGACATATTTGTGCTTATTGTGTATAAATTTCATTTTTGTTGATTGAGCCATGTTACGATATTAGGTAGAATCCATTTGCCCGTGATTCATGTATAGCAGTTTTACTGAAATCTCCAAATGGAACACACACACGAGATACATTCCTCCTCCCTGAATGAACTTTGTCGCATTTGCGGGTGTAAGAACGTGACTAAAGTACAACAGAGGCAAAAAAGAAAGGCTAGGACATGTGACTCACTGCAAAGTGATATTTTATTAATTTATTAAATTGACATTAGAGAAGACACAGATGACAAATATTCGAAGTTTATTTGCCACAAATGCCACATGAGGATATATGATACTAAGAAGAATACCACTCCATCCACCTCTATTCCAGCAATTCAGACAGCAATAGACACGTACATGAAGCTGTACAGAAGACATTTTCCAAAAAAGACAATCCCCAAACAGCACATTTTAGAACAACACTGCATTCCATTCATAACACAACACGGCTTTGGCTTGGGCCTGCTGGGAGAACAAGGAACTGAAAGCTGTCACCAGTCTATTTCAAAAATTGAAAAGCGGGCTCAAGGCATAGTAGACAATACTGAAAAGCTACGATATGTTTTGAACGCACATTTGCTCCAGACAGCGCCTTCACTGCGCATCAAGGCTGCAGGCACCGAGAAAGCAACCACGGCACCATAGATAAACGTATATATCTACTGTACAAAATGTGTAAATAATCTAGATCTGAGTCATTAATGAAAGATACTGTGATGTGAATTTAATCACAAGCCCGACGAATTTGACTTTTGAACGAAAAAGCAAAAATATGGATTATTGATCTTCCAACGATGATGTCCTTTGGTGAGTAGATACCCACATTATTTGTCTTTATTCTGAGCCAGTTTTAGTGAATTTATTCGAGCTCTTTGGTTGTTACATAACTTTTAATTCAGTGTATATTACATTAATTACCACATATAAGACGGCTGTATTTGATCGCATGCAGTTACAAAACTATACAAGATATCTTTGTTGCGTTTTCACAAACTGTACATTGAAAGAAG